TACAATCTATTTTCTAAAGTTGGGAGACCAGTTTCAATTATAATATTATTTATGGGCGTCGTCTGAAAAGCATAACAACTTGCTCTAACGGCTTGGTGATAGACCGGTTTAAGGATGTTGATATTAGATTTGCAGCTATTGCCATAAATTATCAAAGCATAGTCAATCTTGCTTAACACAAGCATTTTGGTAAGATAAGCAATAGTGTTAATATGCGCATGGCTTCTCCAAGCAACGTACTGTATGAAATTTACCCTTGTTAAAAGGGAGTTTTTAACCGAAGGCAGTGTGCTTTCCAACGATAATTGTTGGAAAACGTGAGCCCGAGAACATGGAGCGTCTGCACATTTAGTACTGGTAAGTCGTTAATATGCGTCAGTAGGTTTCCTGCATCGCACATTTGTTTTCGACAAATGTGCATTTTTTTTGATTTTTGTATAGACATTATAGCTCCTGACGAGTTTGCCCATGTGGAGATCTCACATGCAATAGATTCGAGGATGTTGATTGCTTTCGTGTTGTCTTTTTCTTTTGTAAAAATGTATACATCGTCCGCGTAGAGACAATGTTCCACTCTTGGTACACGGCAAAGAATTTTGCTAATTTCGTTGAAGGCGATCTGGAAAAGCGTGACAGAAAGAGGAGATCCTTGCGGAATGCCATTCATTAGCGGAAAGGAATCAGAAAGATGATTGTTGATTCTAACTTTAATCCGCCGATGCGACATGAATGATTTGATGTAGTTGAAGAATTTGGGTCCAACATTCCATGATTTCAAGCGTCTTAAAATAACATGAAGACCAACTCTGTCAAATGCTTTTTCGAAATCAATTGAAAGAATTGTTACATGGTTTCGTTCGGAAATTGCTTTGCTTGTAAAATAATCAATATGTAACAGAGCGTCGATGCACCCTCTACCCCGCTTGAAACCAACTTGTTGCTTTGTTATCAGATTCTTGGACTCAAGAAACCACGATAATCGAGATGCCATACTCTTTTCCAATACCTTTGAGAGGAAGATAAAAGAGAGATTGGGCGATAGTCCGATGCGATGGAGACTTTTTTTGACTTTGGAATTGGAACAACTGTAGCCAGTTTCCACATGTAGGGTATATGGCCAGTCAAAAATACCGTATTATATAGTTCCAGTAATTTCTTTTTACTAGACTTAGACATAGCGCTGATAATTTGGTATGAGATGCGGTCTAGATCAGGTGTCCTCCCCTTCAAATTGTAGAGACAACTTCCAAGTTCTAAGGTGGATATGTAATTTTCCAGGAACATGGCACATCTATCAATATTATTTGAAAGAGATATTGAAGTCCTTTTATTTTCGATGAAAGCACTGGTGAAGTTGCTATCAGAAGAATATTTGCACCACACTTTTCCAAAGTAATTAGAAATCTCATCTGCATCAGTTAAAGTTCCATTGGGAGTGAGGATCGTTCAGATTTGAAGTTCCATTAAGTCTGTTGATTTTGTGCGAATCGCTTAAGACATAACAGCAGCATCATGGTTGCAGTTCCCGTTAAATGGCTTTGAATTCAAAAATGACTCCACCTGTTTGGAGTAGTTGATACAATCCGCTTTATCTAGGAGGAATTTGGCCTGTTCTGCTGGAGTAATTGAGGACGATGAAAGTTTAAGATTGATTACGATTGGAAAGTGATCGCTATTATGCAGATCATCAGAAATAGACCAGGAAACCAAAGGAAGAAGTGAGGGAGAGCAACAAGTTAAATCAATATGTGAAAAAGTGTGATGAGTTGAAAAGTGCGTTGGTTTTCCATCATTTAAAATGCAGAGTTTGTTTTGAATGAAGGCCTTTTCTAAAACAGTACAACGAGTATTTTTCACTGTTGAGCCCCAGATGGTATTCCAACTATTAAAGTCGCCGTATATTATTAATGGGGGGGAGAATACGTAGAATAAATTGTAAAGTTCTTGCTGAGAAAACGATTGCGAAGGTGGGATATAGAGCGAAAGCATTGTAAATTTTATGTTTAACATTATTTGTATCGCTACGGCTTGTATATTTGAGCTACAATTTATGCGTTTATGAGGTATATTTGATTTTATAAAAACACCAACTCCTTGTTTGGAATATGAATTTTGATCAGCATGCGTGAAGTATCCAGTATATGATTAGGGTGGAATAGGATTAAAAGAGCTTCTACAATAGGTTTCTTGACGCGATAAAAAGGTTGGATTAAAATCACTTATGAATGTACCGAGTTCATCAAAATTATTAATAAGTCCCTTAATGTTCCATTGTAGAATTTTAAAAACTTTATTTAATTGTAATGACATGGAAGCAGAGTGGAATTAAGGTTAAGTTGACATGTCAGCGTCTCCGTTGAGAAGGTCGCTATAGGAATTTTTCATGAATGATTTATTCTTACCAGCAGAATAATCTGCACTTAGGTGGTTTGGTACATTTGAAGCGCAACGAGTAGGCGCACGTGAATAATTTGAAGTTGAAGGTTGATTAATGGATGAAAGAATGGATTCATTACCACTTGTAATTTGTTGAGTAAAGTTGAGAGCTGGGGATTCTGGAGAATTTAGTATACTAGATTTTAGCATATATGTCGTTGTTTTAATTTTTTCAATATTTGGTGTTGTTTTGGTTTTTTCAATATTATTTTTGGCGGGTGATGTAACTGGTTTCGCAATATATTTTTTGGTTAAGGGGGGAACAGCTTTTTCTTTGGAGGTAGTTGGAGTTAAAGGCTTACTAGGCCCGATTTGCGAGGCAACAGCAGCGTAAGTATTACTTTTGCGAATTCCTTGGGCTACAGACGGATTTCTTTCGCGATATGTGCGTCGCGCTTCGCCCATGCTACAATAATTTTCTGTTTTGATTGTTAGAATTTCACGCATTTGTATAAAACGTGGGCATTGTTTGTCTAACGCAGAGTGTTGATCGTTGCAATTTAAGCAGAAGCTACGGGTACAGTTTTCAGGATGTGGAGGAAGATCACAATTAGCACAGGATGGAGGACTGGTGCATCTTTTTGCCGTATGGCTCAGGCGTTGGCAGTTTTTACACCTCATGGGATTTAGAATGTAAAGTTCTACTTTACATTCGTACCAAGCTACATCAACCGTTCGCGGTAGCCGATAGCGGTCAAAAGACACAATAATTCTTCCTGTAGAAGAGCGGGTTTTTCCATCGTCATTTAATTGGTGAATTTGTAGACTTCAGTTACTCTTTGACTGCCCATTTCGCGCACAATTTCATCTTCCGGCACATGCTTTCAGCATGGGGTATAAACATACAAAATGTTTAATATATTTTAATAAATTTGAACACTTTTAAAAACCGTATAAAGCAACAAAGAAGATATTGCTAAATTTTTTTGCACAAAGAGAAAGATATGACTATAGCGCTTGACATCTGAGAATAAGCGTCTATGATTCTCAATAATTTCCATGAGTACGAATTGTAGAAACCAAAAAGTTCCTTCACATACTCTAAATGTTAAACTAAATCTGAAAGAATTATTCTAATAATTAAAAAAATAGATAAAGATTAAGATATTAATATTAGAGGAACCAATTTTTGTCAGGTCAATAAAAGAAGAGGATTTATTCATGATAAACCTTCTATTACAGTTCGGAATCAGAAGTGGAATGGAGCTGAACCTCTTTTTAATAATAAAGCAGACGAAATTATTATTTCATTTAAATTGTAATTCTTCCTGAAATCAATAAAAATTAAAAATATTATTCTAAAAAATAATTCATATTCAATTATATTTAAATACAAAAATAACAAAAAAAATAAACTTAAAACTAAATACTCTAATCTCAATAATATTGACAATAAATGTTTTCGATTAGAAATAAAAATAAATACACATATTAAAAATAAATTTCTTGGAGAAATTCAATATAAATTAATAATCATTAGTTTTAATAGTTTAACAAAAACCTTGGTCTTGTAAACCAAAATTAAACTATTAACTTTTAGAACATCAAGAAAAAAGAAATTCTTTATCATTAATCTCCAAAATTAATATTTTTTATTAAACTACTTCTTGTCATTTTTCTATGAACTCTTTATTCAAGTTTATTAGTATTTAATTTTATATTTATGAATATAAAACATCCATTAGCAATAGGATTTTCGCAATATAATTTTTTGCAATTCTCTTCAGACTTAGTTCATTTCTCTTTGTTTGCCAAAGAGCATAATTTTTAAAGCAGAAATAAAGGGAAATTTTAAGTTCGTTTCACCATTAAAGATAATATTTAATTGATAGCTTAAGAGCCAAAGAGTTTTCCTATAAATTTTCCGAATAGTGACGACTAATTTGTCGTAGTAAGTTTGCAACGTGATGTGTTTCATTTCCAAACTAAATAAGGGAGGAGATGAAAAAACTACTCCAGCAAACAACAAAAGAAGCAAAATTTGTTCTCTAGGTGACAATTTTCATGCCCGCTCATAGGTTAAAAAATATTTTATAGATTTCTCTTTGAGAATGAAAAACGAATCACTCTCTCTCTCTCTCTCTCCATCTATCCCTCGTGGTCCTTTATCTTAATATTATCAACAATGCTGTTGAATAAAAAGTATGTAAAGTTTGATGTAATTTTCGTCTATTTTTCCATTTCAGAAGTGTTAAACTTATGGTATAAGCATATTTGTGCATAAGTGTGTGTGTACGTGTTCGGTATTTTTGTATAGAAATTATCTGAAAACGAGACATGTGATTTGTACTAAAAGATATTCTCGTGCAGATATATTTGTCTATATGAGAGTTAGAGCGGAGCAACGCGGAGCAATGCATAGAGTGCGAAATACGAAGTAATACTTTAGTTACGTTGATAATGTCAAAGCGAATAGATGTAAAACCTAAGACGGTTGTGTTCTAGACAGACCTCGCTTTTTTCCATTTCATAACAAAGGTGGTGGTATAAGGAAACAAATAAATAAATAAATACAACAAAAAAAGTAAAAATTGCTTACAAATAGAATGCAAAAAAAAAAAAAAAAAAATTCCTGAAATAAAAACAAAGAACATAAAAGGAAAATTTATTAAAAAATTGTATTAAGATTGAAGCATTTTCAAGAAGTGTGTCGCGTTCAAGTTTTGTTCAGACTTCGCGATATTACGATATGCTCTTTCAGATGTATATGTATGTATGTGTAAAGTAACTGAAAAATAAATGCTTATCTTATGCAAAAATATTACAACTTTCATTCTTAGTGTCTCGTCTAAGTTGTGAATTTCATTTTGTTTGATTTGTGAGCAAATATTTTTCATTAAGTAACATATAAAAGTATATAGAAAAAAAATTAAGTAAGGTTAATTTACTGTTGAATAGTTTGCCACAACTTCTATCAACCACATTTTAACTTCTTAGCAATACGTACGAAACGTCACTGATTCCACCAGCCACACAAATCATAAACTTTATGATTTGTTGTCCCAAAGGTAAATATATATTTTAATAAAAACATAAAAATCACGGAAATTTTCTAACAACAATAAAAATATATGAACAGTTACTACGTTCGCAACAAAACCAAAAGTTTCCACACAAGCGCTAACGCCACCAGCGTTTCAGCCCATAATAGAAAAACTGGAAAACAAAACATATGTATATATACACATATGTACATGTATGCATGTATATAAAGTCAAATTACGGTACAATATCGAATAATTGTGAAAACATGTGCACAACATACAAACACATAAGCGCGCACAAATCCATACACGCATTCACATATACTTACTTGCAACATAAATATTTTATTGTTTATTGTTTCAACACACAAAAAAAAACCAAGGGATTGCTTTTGGGTATTGAAACTACCAGCCTAATAAAGTTTGCATGCAGAAAGAGAGATGAAAGTGGGTAACTCATGAGTTAGGAAATAATATATAGCAATATTACTAACCTTATCAGGTTTAATTTCGTTGTCTTTTCATATTGCGAATAGATATTTAGTTTAACAACGTCTTCATCATTTCTGATCATAAATGTATTAACTTTAATTCATATTAGAGATTAATCAAAATTCATTGTATATTATTAGACCTTATGTTTACCCAATCGTTGCTATGTAAATATATCGAAATCGCTTATCAATGGAATCCATTTCCAAAATTAATTTTGTATAGGATTCCCAATGTGAACATTTTCAAGAACTTGGCATACAACCACAGCATAATTCTCATTTGATTCCTGAAAAACTTTTGATTTTTTCAATTTTTGTACTTGAAGCATGTCAATTATCAGGTTCCCATTAAAGGTTTAATTACTCAGTAATTTCAGAAAGAAAGCAAACACGTTAGGGGCGAAAACGTTTAAACTTACGGCAACAACAACAACAGCAACAATACTAAAAGGATGAAATTACGATGTAGGAATTCGAAGTTTGCGTGTTGATCAGTAAATTAATTGCATGCGCTTCTAGGCGCCCAATAGGATTGCAATTCTCTCGTTGACTCCAGAAGTAAATCATTTACATAATTTATTAAGTTTAAAATGTCTATCCAAACTTCCATGCGCAGATATTTTCGCGAGACGTATACCTCCGAGTTTACTAATTTTTTTATTTTGTGTAAGTCTCTATAAGAGAAAACAATTTCCTAAAATCGTTTAAATTCAAGCCCTTTTCGCTCAATTCGTAAGTTTGATTGTGTTCATAAACATAGTATCCGTCAAAATTAATATATTAATTAATGATACAACGCATCTCAAACAACCTTCAACCACGCCTTCTCTCTAGGAGTATCCAATAATAAGTAAGATGGGCCAAATCTAAAAAACACGGTAGCTAGCTTCCAGCTTCCATTCATGCATCTTGCAGCCATCAATTTGTGACACGAGGCTTGTGACGTATGACAACAGTTCTCTTTTTTATGCAAAGTAGTGAATGCACTCTCTCTTGATATTTTTGCGATATCAGATATCTGGTCCAATTTCACTTCTCGTCTATTAAAAATAATATTCGCAATCGGCGTTCGTATCACCTTGTTTAAAATCGGTAAGTCACCGAAAAAATGTTGTTTTCGAAGGGCGAACGTTTCATAAGACCTTTCAGACAAAGCGGAATTTTAACGGTAATATTCTCTAACTGAAACTAATCATTCCCCAAGGTTATTTTAAGTTTATGGGAAACGCCCAGACAGGCTTGAGACAGACCACTCTTTCATTACACCGATCTGATTTGATCTAGCATGCCTGTTTGTCCGTCTTGTATTCTGTGTTCAACGTATAAATCGGAATTTTTTAAATAGTTTAGTAAAATTTGGTACATCAGCATGTTTTCGCCGAAGAGCAAACACAATTGAAAATGGCTCGGTGTGTGGCCAATTTTTTGACTATTTCCTATATAACCCTTTACTTTGAAAGATTGTTATATGAATAATTGCATGAAGTAGTGTGGTGTATTTAATGGTGGGCAGTGGCCGACTAGAATCTTTTTACTAGTTCAATACTTAATACAAAGAACAATTGTTAGAGATGACGTTTATGAGTCAGATCCGGAAAATGTTGCACGGCGCCATATCTTTCAAGCACTTTTGCCTAAAATATGTTTACAATGATAGCCATATTGCATGCTACCTACAGCATGAAGAATTCTGCCTTCTTAAATAATCAGGGGGATATAGATACTTACGGATTATTGATTGGTAGATTCTGATCTAAAAATCATCCTACTATAGAGTTGACCAAATCCACTTTATTATTTATTTATGTGTCTGTATTATTTATGTGTTATTAAAGGGAGCAGGATATAAGAGGCAACATTATTTTGGGATATGTAGAACATTAGACCATTTTTAAATTATATACGAAAGACCGTTATTCACGAAAAACCATTCAATTCATTAAACCCAATTTGTTGAACATGTTTATGTATTTGTTAAAGTACTTACTAAATTTGTAAAAAAATTCTTTTAAAATCAAAAAGAGGGTAATACTAGCTCTTACAAAAAAAAAAAGAAGCTTTTTACAGCACCTACTTAACCTTATTTCCACAGGTAGCTATTTTTTAGCCTCAGCTGAAATGTGAAATGTTACTCAATATCAGGTAAAAAGCGTATGTTTTTTACACATGTTAGTTATAAAAACAATGGAGCTAATCTTAAGCACAACAAATTTTTTTAGAAAAAATCTGTTATTCAATATTCTATAAAGTTAATTATAGTTAGCCACTGAAGAAATTCTACGCCTAAAATTACAGAAACAAGCTGGGCCACGGTCCACCTTACGCAGTTATTCATATAGCCATATTTCAAAGTAAAGCGTTGAATGGAAAGTGGTCGAAAAAGTATTCCGATGGGAACTATTTTTAATAGAATATGTCCTTGTAACACGTCGGTATACCAAATTTCATCGAAATATCTTAACAATCGTTACCTGTCAGTTCAAGATAGCTATACGGGCCCAGATCGCCGCAGGAAAAGATTTTGAATTAATCGGTATTATAAAAGGTGAGTCCATCTCAAATCTTTTTGGGTATTGTATATACATTTACAAAAGCCTAACGTACCCATGTATCACAAGTGATGTAAGATATAAATACCATAACATTTTTTGTATAATTTTCTTGAATATTTAACGTGCTCATAAGAACAATAGCAATATTCATAAGATAGTATTACCGTCTAGGAACTAAACCAAAAACAACGGATTTTACATTCAAATCTTCCCTGTTTCCTAGGTATTTTCTTGTGTATTTGTACAAGTCTTTGGACGCTACGAATAAGGCTGCCAATAATTTTATGAAACCGCTAAATACAGCAAAACTTACTTATAATTTGTATGTGTTGATCAGGCGTCTACATTATGTCCAAGGGTATTTTCGCGATCGGAAGTCTTGAGATAGGCTGCTCAGACTTGACATGAATATTTTGAGGTAGCCCACTACAGCTAAGAGATTGTAAAAAGGAAAACAAAATAAAACAAAAATATTGTCCATAATTCAAAGATTTGCAGGCTGCAGGGTAGGGCTGTATCAAAATTTCATTAAGACAATAGAAAAAAGGCGGTGTCCTGCGTTTGCTGTTGGAAATTAAAGATTCTCAAAAACGTCGATCTTTGTTACTAATTCTTCTCATACCTTCATAAATTAGATCCGTTTCTAGTTGTGCACAAAATCTCATCGGAATTTTAAGACCATCTTGACACTGAAGACGACAATCAATTAACTTCTATTGAATGTATATTTTTTTTAATACAGCTAATTCCTTAGGGATGTCGCCCGTTCGTATAGCGCATTGAGGGTCAGCAAAAAGTGCGGAAAAAGAGTGAGATAAGGAGGTAGTAGCCGTAACTGAGTGGTGTACATATATATGAGCTACGTCAAAAATAATTACTTGGTAGTCGCGATATGGACAATTAATAGAGCAAAGTCAGTTACTTATGAATATGTTTTTCTTATTCACCAAATATATTAAAAGATATTCCCACGATTTTATTCTTACTTGATTTTCGATTTCATCTTTAGTCGTAAATGTGGAGCGCATTTAATTAATACAATTATTTTATACATGATATTACATTAGTATTACATTAGTAATGAGAATATTAATATGCCATAAATTAAAGCGTTAAATATTTTAAATTTGTTGTACAAACAATAAATTTCATTCCAATTTAATTCATTATAAATGTATAGTTATTTTTTATCCATTTTAAATATTCTCTATTACTTTTTATAATTTATTACATATTAATTTAATTAAAAGTCTGCTTATATGTTGAAATATTGTTCGATAGAAAATATTGCAATAGAATTAAAAAGAAAAAATATGTGAAATACTACATCCGAACTAAAGTGAATCTTGCATATCTATCAGCTAGTGAAAGGAAATCGTGTGAAGCAATACAATATTTTCGAACTGCAAAGTTGTTTACAAAGGATAGCGAGCACATTTCTTGTCTCAATTCTGTTTGTATCGATTAAGAATATCTGTATAAAATTTAATTTGTATCCATCTAATATTTTGCAAAAATAAGAATAAATCAAACTGCCACAGAACGGTTATGACAAAAAAATATGGAGAATGGCATAAATATTAATATACACTTTGTTTCAGCTTGAAACTGAAGATATTTTTATTGTAAAATTTCTTCCTTTAAAAGCTTACTCTGAATTTAAATCTTTTAGTCTTTTCGATTCCTTAAAAATTGACTAAGACTAATTCGTCCGCAGTATTTAAATGAATTTATATTTGCATTTTTTTCTGTGACTTTGATTTCCGTATTCATTAATCTGTCACGCTAATTAGAGGCTTTTGATTTTTTTAGTGTGGATTTTATATAACCTTGTCCTGAAAGTGTCCTTTTAAATGTCACAAATAAAATCAATTAAGTTTTTAAAGAATTTGGTGTTGCGAAGAAAAATTTGTGTTCGTCAACTTAATTGAAAAGATATAAATGGTTGCGAATGACATAAAAAATGAAAATTTTGTTT